CAAATTATTTCAAGAATTACTCGGAACAATTAAAGCAGAAACTTTATCGAGCAACAATTCAAACCTGAATACAATATAATATACAAACGCACCAACAACCGTATTTTGATAAGTCAATTAATTTTGTTTGTTGTTTTTGAATTTTGCAAGAAATTGAAATACATCACGGCGTAACACCTGGAAAATGGCGCATACCGCGAGTATTGTCAATGCGTTAGGACAATCACCCATTAGGCATTCGCTCTAATTATCGAATGCCCGTACCAGTAACCGTGCTTATTGCCTCTCATCGAATTATTCACTGATTGATTCTGATTGCGCGGGGATTGTGAATACTAGCGAATTAGGTAAACCGATTCGGCTAATTTCGCTTGGCGCGCTTGCCAAAATGAGCTTTGCGCTTGTGAATGTTTGCGATGTTAAACAAGAGGTGTTCTCTACTAAATAAAACCGGTTCATCAGTATAATTGGAATTTGTAAATTTTTGAAAAAAATGAAATTTTGAATATTTGTTTGCAAACATGTTGGTATTACAGAGATTTAAATAATTATAAGCGTGTGATCGTAGATATAAGTACTTTTCTGGCATTTTATATACATAATAAACTACGTCTAAACTACGAGCAATTTATTAAAAAAAGATCACAAGCTATCGGTACCGCATATAATAATTACCTCCTTACTGCTTGGTTTTAATACGAATATAACAAAAGCATTAATAATCTAAATTTACGTATTTACACACAATATTTTTCGTCCCATCTGTATATCGACAGTCGAGAGTTATTTACCGAATTAATTTTTCCACTTATTAATAGGAACTGAAAGACAACCAGTTTTTTCTCGATAAAATTATTATCCTCATACTGAAGAACGTAAGTAACGCTTCTGTTGTATGCGTGTAATCAAACAATTTATTCATTAATCAGCACAAAACCCAGCCACATCGATCCCGATGAAAATAATAACGTAATTGTTATTACGTTTTTGTTTTTAAAAACCGTTCGTGCGGAGTTTGCATATTCCGTTGTGAGACACGAATTCTTGGAAAACTCATTGCAGCAATCTATATCTTATCTAAAGAAAACGTTAGTGCGAGTTCGATTAAGTTGAAAAAAAAAAAAAAAGAAGTAAGCAGTGAATTTATTTCTGTCAAAGTATAATAGAAATGCTCGTTACACTCGTACAGCACTGAATTACCTGTCCCGCCACGATGTTCGTTTTTTTTCTTGCCATATTGATTGGCCCATAAGACTTACTATATAGCTAATAAAAGTAGTTTCACAAGTTTGTAAAAAATGTATCGAGGCAGCGCGAAGAATTAATAGCACAAGCCAGCTTACTTGCTAATAACTAACACACAGGTTCGTTTACTTCTCATCGGTAAATTATCCCCGCATTATATATAACCGTTATAAATTACCAATAGGTATTGCAATTATCTGTAAGAACGATCGATAAAACGTTATCTCGCACAACAACGGTGCGTAATGTACATGTTATATAAAAATAATTATGTGACAAGCCGACGAGCGAGCGCGAAGTGAAGTGCATAAACTCATTTGAATAATTAATGAGATTTGAAAGAGAGTTCAGAGGAAAATGACAAATTCATATTTGTTAATATGATGCACAGGTGTTTTTTTTTTTTGTCTTTTTTTTTTTTTAAGGTAGATAAAGAAGGACAGCAGAGTATAACGTTATTGTTGATGAAAATTTTGATGAAAATTTTAATTTCGATCCGCAGTCCGTTTTTCTCCGCGCAAAGTATTATCATTTTCATAATTAAAACGCTTCGTCAAATCCATGTCCCACGTGACGTGGCTATTTTCAGCAAAATAGAGATTGCGCAACATTATAACTAGACCAACAAGCGACCGACAATTGTGTATTTATCGCTATCGATGCGAAATAATGACAGCAAATTACCAGTTGCGTAACTTTAATAACCACTTTCTATTCAAATTGACTATAATTCTCTTGTATTTTCTTAACATATATATTATGTATAAATGTATTAGCATATAGAAATGTCAAAACACATTTAGAGAAAAAAAATAAAATCACATTTTTTAACGTTAACAGGAAACGGCAAAATTGCCGTCAGGTATGTAACATATGAGAGAATAATGTTTCGGATGAAAATAACTGTCGATTCGATCGTATTACCATCAAAACAGATTCGCGCGCACAAAGAACCCGATTCGAATCGAATTGACGTTGTGTAGGAGAGGATATATCCTTTGTAGAATATAGGCGACAATTCAGAAGAACGCTATATATTTACTCGCTCGCGACGCGGCGCGGAATTGGTTGAAATGGAAGAATTTGCATCGTAAAAGTTTCCGACAATGTAATCGAATGCGTTTTTGAAGTATGAGAAACTCGAACAATAATAGTGGCTCACGTAGTTTTGTGAGCTTTTCATTACGAAGAAGAAATGAGATACCTTCGTTTACACACAACGGTACTTTTCCGCGCGTAAATGCAAAACACACAAAAGTCCGCATCCACGTTTGAATTATTCAGATTTCTTTAACACGTATGTGCCACACACACAGACACACACACACACACACTTATTCATTCTATTTTATTTGCGCATTTCATATTTTGTAATAAAGTTCGTTATCGTAAAAGATATTGCAATTCTTCTGATGAAGGAAAATCACCTCGACTCCGATTCTAATTATTCAAATGCCAACAGTAAGAGAAGCCAGTTGTGAAATGGTGTAATTAATTATTTAAACGTCTGCTCGGGTGAATCAATTAGCCGCGATAACGCGATGGAACGCGGGTGGGTGCGCTCGTAAAAAGAGGTCCGGGAGAAGGCGGGGTAGGGGTAGTAACGAATGCACCTGGTGGATGTAATTCGATAAAGTAGACGAATATCGTGGGCGTTCGTGGTCTGTGCACGCGGTCTCTTAATTGCGGGTACGGCAATACGGTGGACAGAGAGAGAGAGAGAGAGAGAGAGAAAGAGAGAGAAAGAGCGAGTCGCTGAGAAAGAAACGCCGTTATAAGGGTCGAAAGGGACTTCAACGATTGAGCTTCCACAAAGTGAGCGCAATACGAAGGAACCATATGTCTAAGTAGCGAGGCGCGCTCCTAAGTGCTGAAGGCCTTCGAAACCACGGAAGAGGTTGAGAGAGAGAGAGAGAGAGAGAGGAGGGAACACGGCGTAGAGGGTTGTGCTAATATCCATCTTCCCTCACGGCCTCTCTTCGCCGCATTTCACTCGCTATCACCTCTCAAACGTATTTTCAGTCANTTTGGGTCAGTGAAAGGAACCGGTAATCAACGAGCTGTTCACGAAATTCCGTGGCNAACTGATGGAAAATGCATCAAATATTAGTATACGATAATGTCTAAAGTCATTTCACTTCAAAGTAGTCCTTGAACTGTATCGCTCGTCTAAACAGAAAAAAATATAAAAGGAGCTAAATTTGTTTTTAATTTTAAGCATCTTTTTCCTTACAGAAAAAAAAAAACAATTGAAATGTGCTCCACTGTGGCTTTGATGCCCAATGTTACAAATGGCGCAGATCTTTCGCGACTGATATATTTGCTGTCATTATTTCCACAATTACGCTAATAACGTAGGTAGGGTTACAAGTCGAGTCTAGCTCATGCTCTCTGACAAAACGCTACCGTCGTTTTCTTATGCGATAATCATCAAACTAACCTTGTTAGGCGGCGCTTGGATCCCGTGGAAAGGCAAATTTTCGTAGAACGTCTTTGTCCCGGAGTCGGGAAGAGCTTCCGACACGCTGTTCACATGATTGTTATTCGCTTGATTGGGATCTGCAATTGCAAAAAGAGCGTGACTTTGCATAAATTTCCGTGACACGAATCGTCTAGGAGAGACAGCAATGGTGTAGACCCGAGCGAGGTTTTTTTTTTTTCACGCGCGATCGATACGTACCAATACATACTCGCTTCATCCAATCAAAAAAAAAATAAAAAATAAAAAAAAATTAAACGAACTTTTGCTAGCGTAATAAAAGATAGAAAAGTGTGACGCAATAATTGTGAAGCCCCGAAACAGATTGCGACTTCGAATTGGATTCCAAGATGCAGTTTGCATGAGATTAAAAAATTCCGTGCAATCGGTCAATGTAATTTCTCTCTTAACAGAAATTCCGAATTTTCTAAGTCCCGCGACTCAATACCAGAGATTCCAATTCTCGATTTTTCTCTCGCTTCTTCTATTTCTCTGATTCGCGCTTCACACATCACGGTTCTCACTACGATCGTACACGTAAGTGCTTACTCAAAAAAAAAAAAAAAAAAAAAAACCATCGACACACAGCGGAACGATAATGTCGCGTCATTTCCTTTTCTGATAGCACAAATCATTATTTATTCATAGAAACTTCGCTAGATCCCGTCGCCGAGAAGATTTCGGCCGCGATACGGACAAATTTATACGATTTTGATAATGTAGAGGGAAGGTCGCGAGGAGATAATATCGCGATATAAACGATGTCACGAAAAGAGAAATTTGCGATGTGCAAAATTATGACTACGTTAATAAATCAGAAAATGAATAATATATCTGTGTGANTAATAGTTTCTGCGATAAGTGAAATTTATATAACCGATTTGCTGCGTGTACTTTCCGTTTATGCGAAACCATATAAACGTTTTGCGTGCGACATGAACAATATGACACATACACACAATATGTATCTCGTCTATGTAATATTCCACTCCTCTANTTTGCGCTAACAATAGTAATAATGATAAAAGTTGCATTCGCACGTGTATATCCGTACATGTTTTGTGTGCGCTCAACATTTACGTTTGATTTGATAAATATAATACGTGTTGCAATATGTAAATACATACATATATTATACATGTACAGAGACAAAAATACGTAATTTCGAAGGGATATCTGCCAATATCTTGCGGAGAGAGAGAGAGAGAGAGGGCTTTTTAATTAATTTAATTAAAGCATGCAAGCGCAAATTAAATCGCAAGCATGCGCGCGTCATATGAAAATTGCATGTATAATACATACCTGCTCCTGGTTTTTTTCGCTTACGAGATGCATTGCCACGATTCGTCTCGCGAGATGATTCCAGGTTGTGCAANACTCGCTGCCGCGGCACGATTCTCTTATAAGTCACGGCTGACAAACATACAACGAACAACGAGCNACGTCACAAACATATAAAGCTTTTGTTATGCGGCAGTTTTTAATCAAACGTAAAAACGAATAAATGTGCATTCTTAAACAGAAAGAATAAATACATGTATATTACCTTACATGGGATCATATAAAAGGTTTTTAGAAAATTTTACCAAATGAATAATAACATTTCTCGCGCCAACGGAAAGTACGTGAGCAGAAACAAATGTTATTGTAATTAAAGCAAAGTTTATATAAACAATAAAATAATGTTTACAGTAAAATAAACGTTCTGACACAACACGTATATTTTCATTAATCGCGAAATATCTCGGTGTATTTCATTTTTTCGGCGTAGTACTATGTTATATTAATCTCCGTTTGTGTGGAATATCTTTAATCTGGCTAAGTAACGATCTCGAACAAGCATTGTTCCGAGATATAGCAAGCTCGAAGCATTCCGCGGAAAACAACGAAGCTCAACCTTCTCGGAGAGATCGGCGGCGGAAAAGTTGGAAGGTTAATTATGCGCGCGCGCCTCGTATACACAGCCGTATGCTTAATGAAGTTTCAAAGTCGTCTGCGACGTGCAGCACATACGCATCACGTACTTTCCGTAACACGACGATGTTCTCATTAACCGCGCGAAAAAAAAAAAAGTAGCGCGCAAAAAGAAATAAAGGCGGCAAAGGAAAATTGACCGATAATGAAAGATGAAACGATAAAAGTACATTATTACCTGCGACGACAGTCGGAAAAGAAACTGTGAGAGAATATAACGCGAGAGAGGAGAACGACTTCTCTGCCAAGTATGGCATCACATAAAATCAATACTGCGAAGTATCGATAAGATGAGAGATAATACCATTGTATATA